ACTTTGATAAGAAAATAAGGAATATGTGCACAAACAAACATGAAAATACAACGTTTAAAGTTAATATTTGATATGACCACCTTTATTCTTCAGCAAAGCCTTTAAGTGGTCTTCATGAAGATTTCTCCAGGCTTCTTGAAGCACATCCAGAGCTCTTCTTTGGATCTTGGCTGCCTTTTGTTCTGTTCTGCATCAGTCCACCATTGTATTTTCATGCAACCTTTGAATAACACAAAGTTAGCATGCTTCAGTTTGTTTTGCAGAATATTTTACAATATGAAAAAAACCAAAACCCTGTAACTTCACACCATGTATCCGTTCAAAAAAAAATGAACTGTTCAGAATGAGGACATTAAATGTAAGCTTTAACTTTCCAGTTTATCAGATGTGGCTGAGCAATCCTTACCTTTAAAATGATCTCCTTCCTCTCCTCCGTCTTTCTTTGCTTTTCACTTGCTGAAAAAACACTGCTTCCTTTATGCTCGCTCCTCTTCTGTTGCTAAACAGATGCTGAAACATCCGGATGTCCCGCTGACATACCAAAAACTGTCTACCTGAAAATGAAAGTGTTATAAATGTGTCTGTCATTAATGGTATAAAGTCATTTGGAAACAGAACAGTTCTCATACAAGGTAGAAGCTGCAATGAGTTTTTGACAAAGTGATTTCTTTACATCGTTTATTTATTTAGGTAAAAAGTTTTGCTGAAATTAAAAATGTCTCAGAAATCAATATAATATGATAGAATTGACATAAAAGACTTGATTTTGTTGTTTTTACACACACGCCTTTTGTACTTCCTGCTGACTGAGTGATGCATAGACCATATACATTAATGGGACTGTCTATGTGCTTCCTCCATTAAGGTCAGTTGGGTTTGATGTGTGATGCAACTTCCCTCAAATGCAAGAGCAGTCAGAAGTACTCAAGTACTTGCTTCGTTACCTCCCACCTCCGATGATAATAACTAAAAGACAAAACCTGGGCATCGTGTTCAGGTCATCTTTGCCGTTGTTCCACGCATTTTCTCACACTGCGTCATGTGGTCACACTGAAGATACCGTTGGTATCTGACAAGAGCTCCATCCTCGCCTTGATTCGCCGCTGTTATCACGTCGGGTTAATCGTGCTTCATGGATAATATCAGTCCAGGCCTCGGGCTGGAGCGACGTCTGCCTGGATGCAGCATCTTGAATCTACAAGGCTGCGTTCTAGCAGATCTGTAAACACTTGGCTTAGTGGAGCCTACGAGGCTAAGCTGCTGACCGGCGTCTATCAAAACAAAGCGCACACACACACTGGCCAGGGTTCGTCTTAATGTCAGTAAGAATAATGGCAGGGGTCAAACTGGAGGACAGCTCCTTTTTGAAGTTCAGAATCTGGTTTGTAAACAGAATCAAATTCTCTTTTCTCTATGCTCCCAAAGTAATGTACCAATGATTTAATAGCCACAGGTGTGCTATTCTGGAGTTTTTTATACATATATTTATATGTATATGTATTTAGGCTGCTGCCCCCGCGACCCGGCCTCGGATAAAGCGGATGAAGATGGATGGATGGATGGATGGATATTTATATTATGGTTATACAACTAAAGTGGTTATACAACTTTAGTTTTGATAACATTCTTGTGAAATAACTGGAGATGTGGACGTGACTTTGACACTGAAGGGAAGTCGGGCCAATCGAGAACTGAGCCAATGGTAATTCAGATCAGCCGTGTCTTTCTTAGTCTCTTTTGTTGGAGCACACAGTTCAAGTCACAATAAGCGACTTAACTGTACGTGCCGCAGATCGCCCTGATATGGCCCTTTTTGTGTCCAGTCCAACAGCCGACCCAGTGTTGGTCAGAGCTGAAGCTGAATGTGTTTGTTAGAAAGAGCAGAAGGGCCCCGTGCTAATTCACTTGTGCATTCAAAACCAATCTGTTGCTGTGAAGTAAAAGGGACGTTCTCGCCTTTGCTTTTTCGACCAAGCTGCGAGTTTTTTCCGCCAACGGGGACGCAGACCAGCCTGAGATATTATACTCCCACCATGGGCAAACATGCAAACACAGCGAGCCACTGCTCCGCGTGGTACAGTACACACCGTTAGAGAGGGCACAAAGGAAGGTGCATGATTGGTGTGTTTGACGGCGATCTGATAAAACCATAATTGGAGCATGTAGAATGCATATGTTTTTCAGTCAAACAAAAGCCCTGGGCACGCCATAGAAACTGCCTCTCAATGTTTTCATTGTCTGGCAACTGACTCAAGTGAAGGAGAGGGCGACAGAAACCTTCAAGTCAGTCTGAGAGTGTGTTTAATGTGTGCGGAAGGGGAGCGGCGTGTACGTGCGTTTATCTGCATGTGTGTTTAAGTGTGAGAGGCCGAGACGAAGCGAGGCCGTACGGTCACAGAAGGACAAGCGCCGTGCAAAGTCGGCTATGTCTGGTGGAGCTCTAGACCCTTTTGAGAGAAGCTTATCAGATCATAAAAGAGCTTATTTGTTCTACTTGCTGAAAAGCTGCAGACATTTTTTGCACACATTTTCTCCTGGAAAGGAGTGTATTTACAAAAAGGTCAGGACCGATGTTCGACACTTCCTACTGGAGGGTTACTATGAGACATCGGTGGTAGTTCTTTGCGACATCCACGTGCCCAAATTACAAAATCGAAACTTTGATTTCGTCTTCCCACATCTGCAGATTTTTGAGTCAATGCTTTTTGTAGAGTTTTCTCTCAACCAATGACCACTGTAGGAAGTGGTTTTGGTGAAATTAAAAGACAGATTTCTGTACAGGATGGAAGGAGAGAACCCTCAAAAAGTTACAGGATAGACTTTAACTGATACTAAATGCGACCTTTTCTGTGGCCTGACCTGTCTAAATTGTATAGATGTATACACACAGTCATTCATTCATTTGATGAATTTGTGATGTAAAGAAGAGTATCTCAGTTTTCTTTCTTTGGCTCCATAGCGTCACAGTTGCTCCTTTTTGCACTTTTTCTGAAGCCATGTCTCATTTTAAACCTCAGGCATGACGTGTTTAACCCTATAAAGAATGGAAAAGGAAATAATTACCAAAAAACCCACCTTTTTTTAATGGAGTCTTCAAAAAAAAATCCCAACAAAACCCAGACATTATATGTTAATTGCCTATATGAGTTTAAATTTACATAATATTTGCTGCCACCAGCAGTTTTTGCAAAATCTCTTGTATCAAATATGATAAACTTGCCGTTAAAGGGTTAAAGCACAAGTGACCAAGACAAAGCCTTAAAAAATAGATTGCACAAGTTTGAGTAAGTTGCGGTGCTTGAAGTAAGATATGGGTTTCTTGCAAATGGCAATAAATAAATAAGGAAGGCTTGAGAAAATCTGGTGAGTCATTACTCTTTTATGGCTTTTTCACGCACTGGAGTCCCTTCTTATAGTCTAACACTCTCAAACACCTGGTCAGCTTCTTAAAAACGTAAAGATTTTGTTGTTTTTGTTGAGTTTTAACACAAATATATATGACATAAATTCTGCAGGTTTTTCACTGATTTTAAGAATCTGTAACTAAGGCGCCATCAGAAGGAAGAGGTAATATGTCTTTTCACTAACTCTGAAATCACCCTGGGTGATTTGTGCCATTTGATGTGTGAAGCAGAGATAGCATGTGTTCTAGTCAAGTGTCCCGCTAAGCCATACCAGAGAGAAGCAACATGCACAACACCGAGACCCAAAAACTTACAGATAAACTAATTCAGCCGTTAACAAAACCTGTGAAAGACTGTGCCCTCCTTCCTTCAATATCCCATCTGTCTCCCACTCGTGAGTTCAACAATTGGTGATTGTCTTATTTCCACCACACACTCCTCTGCTATCTTTCTAACAAGCAGCTGAGATTTCGTAGACCTTGAAGCCTGAGTGGGATAGCAAGATCTCCCAGCTGCTACAATGCAGCGCCATGCCCGAGTATCCGATCCCTCCAAACTCCCTCAAGCCATCCTGCCACCTCCACCTCCTTGCTTCCAGGCTGCCTCTGCTTTGCTATCAGCGACGCTGCCTTGGCCAAGGCTGTTTTCTCTCAGGCTGGGGCTCCAAACAGCTGATTCAGGGAAAGTCAGAAAATGTACTGGAGACCTGACCTTCTCTCCTGAGACAAAACACACAGAGGGGGACTGGCTCCACAGGATGGAGACGCTAGCATGGAAACAATAACATAGCCTCAGAATCTACGCAAGAGATGAGGCTCTGTTTTCCAGAGACAGAGGTGCAGAGGCGTCTGTGAGCGAAGCTGCGTCCTCTTTCGTTCTTCTTTCACTGCAAGTTTTACAAACATTTGTAAACGAGCCGAATACTCGTCAGGCTGAATAATAGTATCAGTGAACATTTGTTAATTTTATCAACACTTAACAACATGGTAGCGCAGAAAAACAGCTTGTCTGACCCAAAGTGAACAAAACCTAATGCTAATGCTCAATACCTGGCATTTTGCATCTCGTTTGTTTAACATATACACAGAACCAGAATTTCTTAATAATCCCAACCCTCCAGTCTCTTGTCTTACCTAAGCTAATTGGCAACTAGCTGAATATTTGTACTGAACACGTTACACAATTAAACAGACTTCAGTGATTTATTTTGATTTAAACCCTATATTAAAAAGATTTTATATTAAAATTATTATTCTAACCAAAAAACATCACATTTAAAATGTTTTTAAAAAGAAGGTTTTTTTGTAGTACTGTTATTATTTTAATAATAATATTACTGATATTAGTTACACTGAAAAGAATAAATCAGTCTGGCTTATTGAAAACAGATCAGTCACATTACATTTACCATAAAACTGCAAAGAAAATGGGACACAATATCATAAAAGCCTTAAAAGATTAATATAAAACTATGGTTTCTGTAAGAGAATGGAGGGTGCTGGAAATCACTGCATGAATACAAATAAAGCACAAAAAATAAATCTAATTGGAGAAGTAGACAACTCGAAACAAATCGAAACGGGAGGATCTTTCTTTCTTTCTTTCTTTCTTTCTTTTGTTGATAGGCCCACATACTCTGGGCTAAATCATGACCATAAGGTATGTTATCAGCCGAATGTGTAATGGTATGTGGGTGTAGTAGCGGATGAAGGCATGAACCCAGTTAACCACATTTGGCACATTATCTGTGATAAAGCAGGCCTCAGACTCTTGAGTGGCTGAGCTCTTCTATGAAGCAGGAATGGAAAAATATTTACCTTTCTAAACTTCATTAGCCGCACCTTTAATAAAAAAAAACATATTGACGTCATCTATTTTATAATGACTTTCTTTTTCTTTTAGTGAAACCGTTTCTCACTTTCGGATTGGAATGTTTTTGTGCTATTTTCAATTCAATAAAGGGTCTAAAGTCGAAAGCAAGGTTGTCAAAGTGGTTATATTTAGTGTTAGATGGCCATATTGTCTCATCTGGCTACTGGCGAGAAACACAGCTGCCAAACTGGGACTTTGAAATAACCTAACCTTATGAAATTTGGCCCTGATGTGCACTGAATCTAAAATCATAGCAGGATATGAATTTAAATGTAGCTTTCAGGAGTGTTGTGTGTCAAGCGGACCAACTTTGCCTTATTTGTTTGAATGCAAGTTTAAACTCTTATGGCTTTATATGCAACCAGGATTATCAGATTACCCGTTTCCTTTGACGTTAGCCCAAAATTGATCACGGCTTCGCTCAGAGCTTCCACAGAAGAGTCCTGCTGTGAGTCAGACTCATTGTTCAAGTGTTATGAGACAGAATGACGGTTTCACGGGAAGATGAAAACGACAAAGAATGAGTAAAGATTTTTTCCATTTCGGCCTTATTGCTTATATTAGGGATTCACTTTTTCCTGGGGTGGGTCTGCTTCCAAATTCAGCCTCAAAAATGAGCAAGCTAATATTTTAATTACACAAAACAAAATGCTGGTATTTTTCTTCCACTTAATCCTGCATATGACAGAGTGATTTCGCCTGATATGTCAAAACCCCATTTGAATTTGAGCTGTGGTATTACGATACCAGAGCAAACCCTTTATCTTCATTTCACTGCTGTATATGCATCATGATGGCTCGGGGAGGAAAATAGATAAGAGAAGTACAAGTGATAAAAAACAGCTTGTAATATAATAATATGATACAGTCGATACACGATTGGAGCCAAAGTTAGGAGAATAGGTCAAACGAACCCTGAAACTTATGTCAGGCTGATATGACATCACCACGCTGATTTGATAAATAGAAATTCATGGAGACGCAAATAATAAGAGATAAATATAACCTCAATCCTTCTCAAATCGCAGACAATTCACTCATTTCCACTGGAGCAATTTTATGCTTGTTTTTCTTTTCTTTTTTAACACCGAGCGGCACAGAGCCAAGACCACAAATATGCAGACAACAGGCTCACGTCTCATCCATCAGGGGTGTATCCGTCACTCATTCATCACATGACAGGCAGGGAGCGTGATGGTGCAGGATTGTTAACAGCCATCAATCCCCTCCAGAAAATCCACTCCACACAAACACACCCAAACGTGCACACACACATTAGTGCACACACACTTGGGCAGGTGAGCAGGGCGTTCCGTTGTGGGCGAGCCAAGGAAGCAAGGACGGTACATGTCCAAAATGACAAAGGTTGCTTTTACACCTGTCATGACCCGTTTAATCATCTACCACTTCAAACAGGAGAGTCTGGCATTCACGGCCTCCCAGCAGCCTTTGCTCCAGCGGCTCTGGACAAGCTGCCATTCTGTGGAGGACAGGGAGAAAAAGACCGGCGCAGGTATAAAACTTAACTGTGTCTTCAATAAAATAAGAGCAAATACGTCAGTGTTTATAGGCGCTGGGAACTGGAGGTAAATATAGAAAAGTACAGAGTGTGAGCGGGAATACATTTATATCAGGAACAAAATGATCTAGATTTTAAGGATGGAGCTACACGTTAAGACAGCGTGAACTCACAACGCCTCTCATGTATTTCATTGTTATTGTGCTATTGTTGTGGGGAGAGTGGATATTTGTTGTTTTTCCATATGCTGCACTGCTTTTGGATATACTGGATAATATATTACATTTTTCTCATGTAATATAATAAAAAAGGTTCTTTGGAATAATTGTTAACAATTCAATTTTCCCATTTTGGATTTCATGGACGAATAATTCATTAAACCAGACTTGCAATCTGATTTTTATGCAAACAGAATTACTGCTAATATTTCATGTTTAATAATGACAGCTGCAATGCATTTAAAATGTAAAAATAATGGTAATAATCAGTGTCTAAAGCTGAACTTTGAATATCTGTCGATGTTAAATCACTTTTATAAGTTGCTCTTTATGATGACTTTTTTAGTGCACCTTATTCTGGTATTTATTGCACACACAGAATCATGGTCATAGTGTATACATGTGTGTGTGTGATTTGTATGGATAAAATAAAATCAATCAATTAATCATTAAACCACAAAATCCAAAGTGTATTTTATATAGCCATGCGAGGAAACATGTCTATTTAATTGATGTATTCTATTTTAATTTCTATGGTATTCTTTTTTAAATTGGAAATATTTGGCGTCTTGTGTGCAAATCCAGTTCGCTCTACACATGTTTCGCTTTCTAAGATAAATCTTTGTGTTGTAAAGGGAACACGTAGCGTAAACGTTAAAGCGATTTAAGTCGTTAAAAGCCCAGATTCTTAAATACAGTAACGCAGGATTGTCACCAAAGCTGTGGTGCAAATATGTGCAGGATAGCTGCTTTATTGACAGTTTGACAAAATAAAAATACAATTAATCCAAACAACACCCCACAGATTAAATACTGGATATTAATCTTCCGTCGTTATTAAAAGACAATTATACAGGATTTGATTGAAAACAGACTCTGTGTGTGAAATGCAAAGATAAAAACATAGCAAGAAAAAAAGGGGGGGGGGGGAAAGCAACCGTGGGGTGATTGAGATGATGAATTGCGTCTCCTTCCTGCGTGTTTTACATGTAGCTGCAGTCGCTTCTCATTAATCATAATCGAGACATCAAAGGTGTTTTCGGACGTGGGGCGTGTTGGCGTCCACAGTGCCTTTTATTGCCCTGCCGTGTAAGAGAAATCAGAGCTGCCCTTTCTACACAGTCACAGTCAAACTAACGACCAAGCAGGGCATTTTTAAAGAAGTAAATAATAAAAAAAAAGTGAGTAATAGTCTCAAAGTTGCCCACGCCACCGTGTGATGCCCCTAACTGTCCCTTTCGTGCGTAATTCGTTCTCTTGCTCCTCGTTATCTCCATAACATCACATAATCAGGAGAAAGCTGCAACGAGCACTCGAGGGCTGGAGATAATCATTATCAAGTCGGTACATAAGGCTCAGACACCTGAAGAGGGTCAACCATTAAAGAGCTTATAATAATAATAATAATAATAATAATATGATTATTATTGCGTCTTTTCATTACTTCCTAACGAAATAGTATTTATTAAATATTTTAAATACAGTTTGACAATATTATTCCAATACATAAATGAAATATTTCGTTCACTATTTATCGTTTCCATATATTATTATTATTATTATTATTATTATTATTATTATTATTATTATTATTATTATTATCCACCAGTTGCAGGCTATCTGGTTGAATTATGTGTGATGGAGATGGTCAGCGCACAGGCCGGAGCTGACAGTCAGTGGCTGGCCTGCAGTGTTTGGCTGTGCTGGATAAACGCGGAGACAGGGCGGCGTCCTGCCACTTCTTCTCACGAGCTCCGTGTGTCAGAGCAGCCCACGCTGACATTACTGCGAAAACACCTCATTTATCAACTGGAGGCTTCGCAGCCAGTGAGCCAGAAGCCGCAAAGAAAAAAAGGAGGGAGGGTGGAGGGGTGAGGGTGGGGTGATGGTGGAATAGGGGGGCAACAAAGAGAAAAGAAAAAAGAAAAAAACAGCAACAACAGGATTTTGTATTCTCTCACCTTCCTGACAACTGCAGGCTGAGGTGATGGGATGGCAGACGGCAGCGCATTTTGGTGCGGTTACTGCCTCTGATAAGAATCACCTCTCGGACCTGAGAGCGAGCGAAGACTCGACGCCTAACAGTCACAATATCGCCTCAAGCGTGAATTTCTATCAGCAAAAGTTCTGTGGAAATCAGATAGACAACATGGATTAGCATAACCACTACACAAATAGACACGGAATGCCACGCAACTCGGGCTGCATTGTTTCCCTCTGAAGTTATGCGAGGAGAAGGATCCAGCAGCAGGAATCATCACGCCAGTATTAAAATAAGAGCGGCAGGAACACCTGCTGGAGAGCGGCTGCACGATTGCGCCCACGGGTATTGAATTAGCATTGAAAATAACTCTACAGTAATAATATTCATGACTGTCTGACAATAATAGTGTTTGTGCGAGAGGTAGACAGAGGAGGAACAATGGGAGGCCTGGCAGTGGCACGCGTTGAACATAAGTCCAGCCGAAGACTCTGTTACTGTTAGGCCCTGTGAACTGTTAACTCCATGTGGTAGTCTAATTGGCAGGGACAGGGATAATTAATAACATATTAGCAATTTTTGGGACGATATTAGTAAATCAAAAAGTGCAGCTGTGCCTTCCGTTGCTATGACACATGAGTAACCGATACAGATGGTGTTACAGTATGAATCATGAATTGCGGTGAGTTGATTTTTCCCTCAGTTTTGTCTGCTGTGCAGCTGCAGAAGCAGTGAACATGTATGCAGCTCGGTGCCTGTTATCAGTGTGATGGATGCAGGGTGAATATTATAAAAGTATCAGAGTATACTCTCGGACTTCCCTGCGGTAGTTGGAAGTATAATGAATGAGCTGTTGGAGGTAATCTGATCAACTGTCCAGACAAAAAAATCAAACAAACAAACAAAACCCCGTAACAATACCCACTGAATGGCTGCGAGTGTGACCTGCAAATGCGTTAATGATTCAATTGACACCTCCCCACTTTTGATCACTTCACTCGTCTCAATGTATATTCGGGCTGAACGAATCATCGCGTTTCAAAGAGGAGCTACACACACACCTTTAACGCTCAATGAGAGCCGTCTGACTTAAACTAATTAAGAGGGGATTTATTGATCACTGGAATGATGACAGAGAATAAACAAGGGGGGGGGGGGGGGGGGGGGGGGTGTAGGACTTTGAATTAAGATGAAACCAGAAAGAAGAAGTAGGCCTAAAGCACATTTCACACACGGAATATAGATTTGATCAATCATTTAATAGGCTGTTGTTTTAATAAAAGGAGTCTTTCTTAAGGATTCTCATCAGTAAAAAGTTGTCCAGGCGAAAGATTTTATTACACTAATGCTCCAAGTAAAAACAAAATATTCAGGCCTTTAACTCGTGGACAGACTGCAGTGGAAAGTCCCAGCTTTTAAACTCTGGATTAACGATTATAAATACAATCATTTTAAAATCTCCAAAGTATCGAAAGTTAAAAGCGTACTCTTTGCAGACGTGATTACTGCAATGCGTAAACATGGGAGTAGCACTTTCCTGTTCAGGGTGACGGGTAAGTTAATTTTAACTGCATTTCTTGGCAGTTTAATTAATAACGATCTAGTTATTAAATTAAACCGTTGTCTGTCATATAAATGTCACAATTTCCCATAAAACAGGAGTAGCCTATGAAAGAGCTGGATATTAAAGAGTAGTCCGGTGAAATTAAAATCTCAAAGACACTCGTTTCTGTTTGTTTCAGCTGCTGCAGGCTCATCACCAGATTTGTGGATCACCTGTAAATAGATCAAGATAGACAAACAACAATTTCATTTAAAGAACAAACAAACAGAAAAGGAAAAAAAAGAAACAGCTGGGGGGGGGGTGTATTCATTTGTAACCGAAAGCATAACTTTCGAATAATGAAACCTGATCGTATCAACACATTAATCCTACTTTCAGACCTGATCAAGTGAAGTGTCTCCCCCCCTCGCTCTCTCTCTGTTTTTCAGCGTGATTGATTGGAGGAGTTCATAGGCTGGCACCCCCATCGCGTCTCCAGCCGCTCACGCTCCACATGATTGGTCCGCCTCCTGCGGCCGCAGCCACCAGAGGCGCCTCCTCTCATAAACCTCCTCTAACTGCGGTAAACTTTCCCATTACTTCCAAGAGAAGCAGAGGCTCACTGTTAGGAAGTTTGCTTTCGACTTATATGGCACACTTGTAGCAGGTAAGTCTTCTTCTTCGTCTTTTTAAACGTTTCTTCTCCCACTTTTGCGGCGCGCACAGCTGCTTTAAACATCTGGCGGTGTCTTGGCGAGCGCAGCGAGACCAAACTCATAATTTCGGGGTATTGTTTTATCGCTCCAGTCAGCCTTTCGGTCCTTATCTGTTTTGACTCTTATCAAACGGTTATCTCTTTTGCTGTGAAGACATATTGCGTTTTTGTTTCCTATCTCTTTATGTGTGCGTCTACTTGCGTATGTGCGTGTGGAGGGGAGGACAGGGATTTGACACGGATGGATCCAGTGCCTCTTAAGAGCGCTTCATGAGAGCATGGCAGTCACTCTAGACTGGGTTTTTATTGGAGTTCGAGATGATACTGACTCAGTAATAATTAACTGGAGCTTTCGTAGTTTATTACCTTATTCTCTATTGTGAAAAATGTAGTTCATCCAAAGATGAATGCTGGTCTGTACACCAGGTGTCCGTTTGCATTTCCCCCCTTTTTCAGAAACCTGCCGACTTTCTGTCAGGATGTTTTGTGGATATATTTTCAATTCACTTATCCTTAACATCGCAAAAAGGGTCATTTCTTGTGGTTTCCTAACGGTTCCGACTCTTTTTGTTACAGGGTAGACCACTCCCTGGCCATTTTTATTTACTCCTACGGTGTATGGAAAGTGCTCCTGGATGGAACTGGGCGAAAACAGCTGGTCCATGGTCAAGCGAGAAGTGTCCAGCAGCCCAGGGTCACCGGCTGAGCAGAACTACCTGCCCGGTGACAGCAGGAGGGACGGCACCACCTCGGATGAGCTGAGGACACCTCCGAACGAGCTTGACGCGCTAGGGCACCGTCGCTCCGACAGCAGATCCCTGCACTCCTACCTTCACTTCGGACACCATAACAACACCCTGACCACTACCGAGGATATCCCGCTGTTTACGGATTTAGACCAGGGGAGCAAACTCGTCCTCTCCACCGGAGCACACAAGACAAGCTTGCTGGTGGACCCGGCCGACATGTACCAAACACTGGCCATTGCGGCCCAGAGCCAGACTGGATATGATTCGAGTTCTGGTGGTTATATGCACTCCAACCCTAACTCCCCAGTGTATGTCCCTAGCTCGCGGGTGGGCACCATGATCCCCAGTCTGTCTTATCTGCCGGCCAACGTGTCTGCTCAGCCCGGCCACGCCGTCTCCAGTCACTCGGTGTGGTCACAGTCCACCCCGGAGAGCCCTTCGTACAGCACCGGGAGCCCGCACGCCTCCAGTCGTTTTCACTACCCTCCAAGCCCACCCATCAATAACGGGACCCCCAGGGACACGGGCTACAGTAACACACTGAATATGAGCAGCAGAGACCAGTACAGCCTTTCTCGTCCCCTCAGCGGGCCCTACCCGAGCCCATACTCCCCGTACGTTGCACCCCAGCTACCCTCGCCTTGGCCCGGGGCACCTTTTGATAACACGATGCTCCACACCTTGCAAAGCAGGAGTGCGCCCTTGATTCGAGGACCAAATGGAGGTAAGAAAAAAAAATCAAACGAAAACAAAGTAGAGGGAGGCACAAAGATGGAATAGTTTTCCTTCTCACTGTGTGGGACGGGAAGAAAAAAAGGTATTTTAATCACGCGCGCAACCTTGAAGTGTCTGGAGTGAAGGCACCAAGCGCCTGCGTGTCTTTGTAACAGAAACCTGTTCCCCTCGTCGAGGCCTGACCTCAAAATGTTGAATAAAAATATGTTTCATACACTGCCAAAAATGAATTTATGATTGTGTGTGTGTGTGTGTGTGTGTGTGTGTGTGTGTGTGTGTGTGTGCGCGCGCGCGCAAGAAACAGGCGCAAATGACTGCCCAGAAATATATAAAATGAATCATTTACATGAAGTAAAATCCACCGAGGCTTTTAAAACAACATTGGCGCAACAGTATAAATTTATTAAAAATGTGAATTTTGTTAAACACTTCGCTTTAATCAATTTATAATCCATGAACAGATCATTTTGCCCGCCGTATCTATCCGCTTGCTTTCTTTGACATGAAGTCCCAGAAGCAGAATCGCTTATGAAATAATGACCAGCAACAATGTGTAATTCTCACAAACTCGCTCCCTGTTCTGATTCCAGTATTTCTCTTCAGTTTCAGATATTCTGGACGACATGGGGGAGAGCAGAGAGTGCGTGAACTGCGGCTCCATCTCCACGCCGCTGTGGAGGCGCGATGGCACGGGCCACTTTCTCTGCAACGCCTGCGGCCTCTATAGCAAAATGAATGGTCTGAGCCGGCCATTAATTAAACCACCGAAACGGACGGTAAGGAGACAGGAGGAGGGGGGCGAGGGCCACTTAAATCAACCAATTTCCTGCCTAATTGTTTCAAACAATTGCTGGAGGTCACTGTCGTTGTCACGATTCGGCCTCTGGATGAAGGTTTCAATGATACAGCCCCCAGTTCAAACCTGATTGTAATCAAGGAAAATTTATTTACGCAAGATCACGTGATTTCTATAAAATGGGGAAAATAAATAAATAAAGCATGCATTTCACATTTGAATCAAGGACTTGTGCTTTGCAAAGGAGAATGATAGTTTTAGCTTAGCCAGTGTTTTAAATTCATCAGTCAAGCACAATCATTTAGTTGTTTCATAAGAAAAAAAAATCTTATTCACTAAATTCACATTAAATCAATCCACACGTGGAAAGCGTTAATGTAAGGAGACACTTTATCTCAAGCTCCACTCCCAGCTACTGTCGGGTAAGCTAATCTAAAAAGGCGTCAGTGGGTCCAGATTTTCCATGGTGCCATTACGCACAGTTTTTACAAGGAAGTGAAATGGCACGTAGCAACTCTCTGCGAATTAACAACCTGTAATAAATAAATGAATAATAATATAAGTAAATGACAATTAAATTGGGATTCTAACAGGGTGTGGATTATTGTTGGAAAGTCAGGTATGAATAAAATGGTTGAGTGTGTGGTGCTTTATTTTCCTGGATACCCACGTTTAATTATAGTGACTGATGTTATGTTTTGCTTGCCACAACAGTCAACGTCCAGAAGAATCGGCCTTTCCTGCGCCAACTGTCAAACCAGTACCACCACTCTGTGGCGCAGAAACGCGGAGGGAGAGCCGGTGTGTAACGCGTGCGGCCTCTACACAAAATTACACGGAGTAAGTTCACTGCGATTTGAATTTCCCCCCCTCTAATTCAGTTTTAATTTTTAAAAATAGACGCATTATTGATAAAAAAAATCAATTCTTATTTTCATTTAAAAAAAAAAAAATCACATCTTACAGGTACCTCGGCCGCTCGCCATGAAGAAAGAGGGAATCCAGACGAGAAAAAGAAAACCGAAAACTTTGAATAAAGCAAAGGGATCCTCTGGTGAGTAGCTGAACAATATTTCTGCTGCACGAAGGAATATGTATGTCATATTTATCTCTTTTAAAATAATGTAACGACAACATTTTTTTTATGTTTCCAGGAAGTAGCAACTCTGTCTCCATGACTCCTACATCCACCTCTTCATCCAATTCCGAAGACTGCTCGAAAACCAGCTCTCCCTCTGGACAAGTGTCAGGGGTAAAACTGATTTTTAATTGCTTTTAAATTTTTCAAATAATAGTTTAAAATAAAAATAATAATTAATAAAACAACGAAATATCTATATGTGTGTGTGTGTTAAATAGGAATTTCTACACTTGAAATTACTATAAAAAGCCAGATTTTTCACCCATTTTCATGAGTGAATATTTTGTAAAATACAAACTGTGATAAAGAGATGACATGCAGGCTGACTGATGCTCTGTGGTTATGACTGCTGCTAACTAATATGTCACTGTGATATTACACTAATATGAGTGTCACATTGATCATGCTCCTTTTTTCCCCAACATTGCAATGCAAATGTCATTTCAGTCCTCAATAATAATAATTTAAAAAAAAAAAGGTTTTACACAATCTAAAAGTTTTACTGACATTTTATACAATAAACTCACAATTTTTGCTAACAGAGAGTTTTCTGGTTGCAGATCAGTTCATCTGTGCTGTCCAGCTCCGGGGAGGGAGCAGGCTCGGGCTCGTCCGTCAAGTACTCCGGACAGGACGGCCTGTACGGCAGCGTGGGCTTGACCCAGTCATCGGACGTGGCTTCAGTGAGAGGCGAACCCTGGTGCCCCATGGCCTTAGCCTGAACATTTTAACCTTCTGGGCGGACAGAGACCCCCGGCCCCTCGTGTCTGGATGCTGTGTATAGTGGAAGTATTTGGGTGCAGTGTTGGTTTCCTTCCCTCTCAGCTGATGCAAGAAGAGTTGGACGAGAGGGGGAAAGAAGTTTGAGATGACCTTAAGTCAGACTAGAAGCTTGAATCAAGCATGGAGTATCTGCGATCAGGTTCCAGATTGATGTCAGGGTCTTTTTTTTATTTTTTGCCTTAAAATACAACAACATCAACAACAAAAGGGAAACGCCAGGCCAAATGATCAATTAGGTGGCCTGCTATGGATGGTTGCTGGACCTGCACTCGGTATCTCTCCCATCCGTGGCACACAGAACCAAATCTGGGTTCCTTAAAGAAAGCCATCTTGTACATAATGGATTTCTCTTTGAAGATGTTGATTGGATATCAGTGCTTCACACAAGCACTCAACTCTTTGTGGACTTTTTTTGATTTTTTGTTTTTTTCCAAAACTGGAATCATGCCATAAGTGCCGAGACAACTTACATGAATCAAAAGAAAGAAAAATATTTATAAATCTTCCATAGTTGAAAAACATGTCTATGATTGTTAATAAAGATATCAATATAGAGTAGAAGTTAAACCATTCTGATGTCTTCTTTTCTATTCTCTGTCTCTCGATAAGCGGTAGTACAGTAGTGTTGAATGTGCACGTTTTCCACTGAAAGCTCTTACTTACTGTATTTGACTGAAACTAGTTTGGTTTAAACAGGGTATAAATGACTATATCACATCGTGTTGTGTTTAATCATTTTAAAAAAAGAGAGAAAAAGATGCAAAAACAATCAACTTCTTGAGACTTAATTTTTGACATGAGAACACTGTCGGCCAACGGGCAGCATTACGGTACTACTTCTACAAAATCTCGCACATGTAAAGCAGTTGGATGGCTTGTTTGAACAAAGAACGCCCAGAATAGCTGTAGGACCCTCTGACCTTTATGTTCTTACACATAAACTGCAAACGAAGGCTGCTGGCCGCGCTACCTGACTCACTATAAACTGTATACCCTTCATAATAATAACATGTGCTGTTGCATCATATTTCAGCCAAAATTAGACCAAAGTGTAGCGTGAGGTCACCTCTGAACAAATCTGTGCTCACTGTGATGACTGTGATGAATCGCTGTAATGATTAAAAGGAGAATTGTTAATGTAACATGTTCTTATGAAGCTCACAGGTCATGCCAAATCATGAATTTGAGAAGCCTTTTTGATTTTTCATTTTTTTTGCATGACCTAAGCAAGTGGTGTGGGAGCTTCAAGAGCTATTTCAGGTTTTAAAAAACAAAAAACCCTCCCCCCCACCCTCACCCGAAGAGACTGAATACTGAAGGCTGATAAGTTACATGTAAATGTTAGCACAAAGAGTTTTTTTTTCTTTGCTTTTGTTCACAACTTGCTTCATCCTAAAAAAAGAGCATGTCATTCACGCAACCGGACTTATTTATTTTTCTGAAATAACATGTTTTCTTTTTGTTTTACTATTTTTTTTTTTAACATTATGAGAAATTATTTAAATTCAATCCAATAAATTGTTCTGGTGATGCAAATAAATCTGCAGTTTGTTTTTAAAAGAAGAGCAAAACGCGTCAGTGTTTTGGAAATTACGGAAAGAACCACCTTCTGCATATTTTTGTGTGAGTCATTCCCATCTATACTTTAACTCCCCGTTTCTCCTTGGCTGAACAGATACCAGAGGGCTTTATTTTCTCAGATGTTTTCACAACTGGGAGGAAAGAAGAAGACATCACGGCCAGCTAATGCAAGACAAGAATTTTGCCTAAAAGTTGCACAGCAAGACTTATCCAGCTTTTTTTTCTGGGTGATTTCACCAAACCACACCTTTGTCCTTTCTGGTAACGTTTTCACTCGAGACTTTTCCTTTTCTTCGGGCCCCTGTGGGCTTAAAGAACAATCCACTTTCCTGTGTCCTCTTGAACCAGCAGCTCAAAGTACCTGTCACAATGTTTACTGTACTTAAGAGAATATGGCCTGTGAGTAATTCCACATGAAAAGATTTTAGAGATGGTTAGGATTTATGCCTGAGCTTAGCGTTATCTGTCTGCTCTTTGACATATTGATTCAGCTAAGTTTATTGAGTGTGGAGGAATGCGTGGCACTGCGTAACAGACAAATCCACAGTTTTCAGGTGAACGGTTATTGCACCTATTTTTCTTACTTGACTTTTGACATCAGATCGGAATGACACTATTTTTCACTATTTCCTTCATATCCATCACAATATTTGCTTTTTTTCTTTAAATTTTACTTGTGTGTTCAAACTGAATGGAAAAGCACGGCTTGTGATGATTTGCTGCTGAGTGTTATATAAAACCCAATTTGTCCACCGAGACCACCGGGCATTAAGTCCTCGAGCTTCCAACGAGATAAATTACAAAAGCACCTTTAGATATGTAAATGCAAACTACTGTTGAGCTCAAAACACAGGCAAATATTTATGGGTATCTGAATTTATGAGGAGGTCCTAGCTTGGCACTGTATCCATGGTGCTACGAGGGAGGAAATATAAACACGGCAGCGCAGAAATCCTCCCTGCGCTCTCATCTGGATTGCTATCCGCACAGCCGAGGGTCACTTTCATGCTAGAGGTGCCACCTGAGAAGGCTGGAAAGCTGCGATGCTTGTCACACAGTTGCAGGTTTGAAATAAGAGTTTGAATTTGTTGCAAATAAGTGATCACATGCTGCAAGGAAGGGTGAGACAGACAAACAGAAAAGACAGAATACAGATCATGATGGCTGTCCAGGGTTGAAAGTCCTCCCTAAGTAAACAAGACAGGCTAACAGCAGCAGACTGCAGGGCCCCGGGCTGTTTGGCCATGGGACAGCAGCACAGTATGGAGCAGTGGCTCCCTCAGGAGATACCCGTTGATCTTTCCATGCTGCCTTTCAAAGGAGAGCAACGCTCAACCCTGCCTCCGGAAGAGATGGGATCTCTGACTTAGCCCTTTTGGGTTTCCTCGACAGACACTGTGGAATACTCTGGTAGAGTAAACACTTAAAAACATTAAAGCTGTGCTGGTTGCAGAGTCTTTCAGATTTGGACTTGCATCAAAAAGTCTCTCAAATGGAAGGAGCGTTTGTGTCCATCACCCTTTTATTGTTCCGTGGTGTTATTGTTATCATGTGATTTAAAAGGGTTCAGAGAAAGCCAAACTGTGCTTTCAAAACCGTGTACACACGGCCTTCTGGGTTGGCAAACACAACCAATCATAAAGGTACCGCCTCCTGCCCTGTCGTAAGCTCTTCGAGTCATATTCACAGGAAGTTTGTTACACGCGAGGGGGAAGGGACAGTGCAAAATAATAGGAAACAGTGATAAACAGTATCTATAAAAATAAATCTGCAGTGTAGTGATTACATCATATAGCTATGTATAGTCAGTGTTATTTATTACAGAAACGCTGGGCGTGTGTTCAGGGAAGGCAGGGCGTTGAGAAGTGAATGACATTTGTGGCAGAGAAGAGTGAAAATCAGAGGGCTGAGCACATGTCCTTGGCCTGACTCTGACTGTGTACGATTGTGTGTGCGTGTGTGTACTGTAAGGAATGCAAGGAAGCTGTCAGGAATTGGACTTAATGGGAGGAGATGTGATAGAAAGCTGAACATGTCCGATGATTCATCAATAACCTGAAAGCCTTTGACCCTAAAGCGAGTCAGGTGCTACACGTGTCACCCGGGAATGAGCTCGGGTGAATGATGTTGCTTTTAATCCCTTATTTACCTTTCAAAATTAGAGAAATTACTTCAGATAAGAAGTTTATGTTGAAATGGCTGTTCTAACTGCTATTTACAAGGAATATCTTTATGGGAGATGTCGCAAATTAGCAGGAAGAACAGTTTTATTGGATAATTTGATCAAATTTGTTATGATTTCTCTCTTTACTCCAAGTTACACGACAGAGCAGTAAAGATAAACCATTAGGCGATGAAGAAATACAGCTGTTTCATTATTTTATGTGAAAAACATCAACATAAAATCCAACATGTGCCTTTATAACAAACTGTGATCTTATGAAATTTGTAATCTGACATTTACAGTGTTTATCCATCTATCCATCCATTTTCTAGAGCCTGTACTCGCCTTTCTTTTTTGTCTTTCGCTCTCACAACCGAATGTTTGAGGCAGATGGATGCCCCTCCCTGTGCCTGGTTCTGCCAGAGGTTATTTCCTGTTAAAGGGGAGTTCCTTCTTCCCACAGTTGCCAAGTTTTTGCTCACAGGAAGTTATCTGATTATTGGGATTTTTTCCTCTATCATAGGGGCTTTACTGCCCTGAAGCAGCTGTGAGTTGGAGTTAAATAAATAAAGAAGGTGGGCTACATCCTGGACAGGTTGCCATTCTATTATATCAGTGAGAGACAGACAACCATTTACAGTCATATTCACATTTGCCAAGTAACCTAACACACGTCTTTGGTGTTGGAGAGGAAGCTGGAGGACCCGAAAGGACAGGTGGAGAACATGGAAATTCCACTCAGAGAGGACCTAGCCGAACCTTTCTTGCTGTGAGGTGATAGTGTGAACGAGTTGCCCAGAATGTTTACCTTCATACTATATTCCTGAATGTAGCCAAAATATTATGACAGCCATTTAGATAACCCTTGCTACGAGCATGCACATGATCTCTGCGTTTATACCTCTCTTTGAGCTAAATGCTAAGATTAGCAAGCACCCGGTCTCAAAGGAGGGTGCTGGGGACAAAAAACCAGAACATTCCTTTCCTCCCCATCCCGGCCACTTTTTGATCGTTTGCTGACAGATGTGATAGAGACAGTAGCTATTTTTATTATTTATTTATTTATTTGTGGATATGGGTTTCATTAAAATACCTCTCTATAAGCGTTAGTAAAGTCAAAGCACCGGTGGCCACTTCATGGCTGTTTTGATTTCAGGCACGACGCAGCAGCAGCCACCTGACAGCAGTCCTCAGTTGCCACTTCTTATGGACTCGTGTAAGTTTCTGGTTTGATAAAGCCAAGTTCCTAACTTCTGCTGTAGCTTACTATTTAAAAACCTCAAGGATGCCAGATAAAGAATGTCACCTTGTAAATTCTTAATGGCCCATGTGTTGGCAGAGCGTTTTATGGGCTAAATCAGTTTCTCTGTAAGAACAATTAAAAGACTTGTTTCACTTTATTTCAGACATAACTAATACACACACACACACACACACACACACACACACACACACACACACACACACACACACACACACACACATATATATATTTATTCCTCCTTTACAACCACATATAATAAATACAAGCTCTTTCTCTCCATTCGTCATAAGTTTGTGGCCACCTTGTAGGTCAGAAAGAGGTCAGTAACCTTTAGTAACTATTGGTTTTATTGTGAGGTGATAAACTATTAAGTATAAATTAGCCTATCTACATTACTAATATGTGTAAAGCTTTGCATTTTAAATAATAATTAAATAAAAAATAAATAAAGAAAAACACATTTTTATATAATTTTGATTTAAGTCAAGACGATTTCAAGCCTACAGGTAAGCCAGCAGCACAAATCTGTCCACAAACTTATAAATTATTGATGCTCTATTTTTCTCCACAGCTTTTATTTATTTATTTATTTTTTGGATTTGAGCGACTCGACACCAAACTGTCATGTGTAAACCTCCGTCCACCCAAGAGGCTAAGGTGATGCAGGATATAACGTGCATATTAAGACAAGATTTGGCTACACACGAAATGTGAAAATATGTAGAAATGTGTAATAATCACACACAGAAATGTGAAATATAAATCAAAATGACAAAAGAACAAAATATCGTTCATTTCTATGGTCAAATCCAGTGTTATGGATGTGGCTTACAGGGAATCAGCGGCGATGGGGAAAATGAGCCACATGTGGCTGCAGGTTCAAGACTCCTGCTCCGGGTGAATTCCACAGTGGACAATGGGATAAATTAGAAATGAGGAAGCTCATTGTAGTTAACCTCTGTGTTAACCTTGTTTAGCGCTGGCATGCTCACTGACATTTGCAGACAGAGGGCAACAGTAAAATGTAAACATACCAACTCTGTCAAGTGATTTTCTAGCTTTAGGAACCACTCGGAGCGCTCTGTACCACACACGCCACATTCCCCCATTCACACGCACTTTGACAGAAGGCACACTGTTTATCATAAACACCCCAACAAAACATTAGGGAAAATTGCAGGGGAAGCAGGTGTTACTGTTATGCTAACTATTTTTTTTTCCTGGGACTTGGTCATAAATTAAACATCAAGTAAATGATAATTTTGAAGCTGAATTTGATAAACAGGTACCACCCAGGCAGGAGGGATTTATCCTTGCGAGGCAGGAATGTCCTGTCAAATGTGAAATGACAGTCCAGTTGTTCACTACAAATCAAAAGTGTCAACCTCAGATCATCTCCAAAGTCGAGGAGTACATTTTGACTGGCTTCCCCTTCATGACACAAGTTTTTGAGTGACTAAGTAATGATACGAGCAATTTTACAGAGTGGGGAAATATTTTTCTACTTCAACATGTCTGGTACTGCTGGAACAGTAAATAAAGCTCCACTCTGATATGCAAACATTTCAGACAAATAAAACGATGCTGGGATTAATACCCGGCTGCCAGCGAGAAAGCTGCTCACATTTTGTGTTTGTTCAGTCTGTTGTTCCTCCTAAAGGTGAAGGCTGCTGGGAAGTTTCTGTTATGAATACTTCACCAATAATTCGCACACAAACATGAGGTCATTGCAAGGTTGACAAATTCTATTCGAACCCATCTGACTTTTAGTCAGACAAAGCTTTGTTAGTATTATTATTAGATTTGTTATTTGTATTGCATTGTAAGGTATGACAAAATTGAGATGGAGCTTTTAAATTACTTGGTAAAAGCCCTGTTTTTAGACCTCCATTGATCAGACAGTACTTTATGAACAAGCACTTGGAAACAGTGGAGAGGAAAAACTCCCTTTTTAACAGGAAAAGACCTCCCACAGAACCATGGACTATATATACAAAGTGAATTTCATTGTAAATGATAAAATATGCTATAATATTATGAACTATATACAATAAAGGGAAAAGACTTTATCTACACCTTTATTAGTATTTTATATTAGAGCGGAGGAATTTTGGCCCCCTCATCTTCACAATGTTGCTTCAGTTCATTTAAGTTTACGAGCATTTGTTTATGCACAGCTGTCTTAAGGCCCGCCACAACATTTCAATCAGTTTGAGGCCTGACCTTGGATCTCACTGGGCCATTGCAACACCTTGATTCCTTCCTCTTTTAGACATCATGTTGTAGATTTGCTCCTGTGCATGTGATCATTGTCCTAATCATTGCATCTACTAATTTGGGCCAGGAATTAGCTGTCAGACAGGTGGCTTCATGTTGTTGTTATATAGAGCAGTTCACGATCAACTCAGTGGCCACAAGGTGCCCAGATGCTGTGGCTGCAAAACAAGCCCGAATCATCACCCACCCCTCCACCACCATACCAATAGTTGGTATGAGGTGTTTGTACTGATATGACATGTTTG